AAATGTTACGCCTAAGGAACGTTGATTCTACTCCTTTTTTTGTGTGACAATTTATCTCACATGGTGCACAAAGATGATAAAGAGTCAATAAGAGCACTGAGCACATGAAAGAGCAGGAGGGGAAGATAATGGCTAAACGCCGTCGGCAGGGGATAATCTGCCCTGTGATGGTCTATTCCCATTCCCTCGGGATCTGGATGGACATTCGCAGCCAATCTCAACAGTAAGTGCCTCTGGATTTCATTTAAATGTTTATCAGGGAAGGTCACTTGAATGTGGTATTGTAGAAGTGATGTCACAGTTTAATTTCCTGGGGAAACGTTTCTCCTTATGTGGTGAAAAAAAGAAGAAGAAAAAGGGTCAATCACATTTCCTCTCTATTCTTCTCTTATTCTCAGCAGGATGAAAAGTCATCAGCCTGTTGTGAAGCCGGCACATCAGAAATGGAAATATATTTCTCAATTCACGATAGGTTTGTGTTTTGGAGACTGTCACTCTCTCTCTATATATATATATATACAGGAATGTTCTGGGTTAAATACTCTTTGAGGGTTTAGAGAAGAACTGTGAACCTCTAAAGCCTAATTTTAGAGAGATTACAACTATAGGCCAATAACATTGTAGCTATTTGTAGTTGTTGTTGGTCTATGTAGAAATGTTATCAGTTAATGGATGTGCTGGACATTTGCTCATGAGTTCTTTGTTCTGGCATGGTGTGTTTAGAGCCAATCAACTGAGCAATTAAATGTCATGTGACCTAGGATGACATCATGATGACATCACATGATCACACATATTCCCAAACCCTTCATTATAGCGAATATCCTGTGATGTCGACGACAGCAGATCAGTCGGCGAGAGAGTCAATTATGTTTGTTCTTTGGATTCAGTGGTAATTTAGTATTTAATTACTATTCTAGCATTTATTATTATTTTGAATTAGCTTTACCTAAAATTGAACAAAAATTACAGTGAAAACTGAAAATAGAGAAATATATTTGTAATTTTGTCGTGTGATTCAAAGTCCCCCTGTGGTGAAAATCCAGTTTTTAATGTTGTTTATGTGTCTATGTGTCGTTTTTAATACGCTTTAAGACACACCTGTGCAAATTCATAAGTCGACAGCATTGCTGAGTATTTTCTGCTTAAAACTGCAGTGAACCAAAGACAGTCTCAAAAACACGGTTTGAAATCGCTGGTGTTTCTCAGATCAACGTGTGATCGTCAACCAGTGGATCTCTGAGCTGAGTGAGTGAGTGGAGGTGGGGCTCATTTGCATATTCATAGAACTACGTATACTAAATGAGGCAAGGGTGTCGAGTTACGTTCAAGATATTTTAAGGCATGAAGACATTTTTTTCAGGGATTTTTTTTTTAAATATCTCATTCACAATAACAATTCATATCTTGAATTTTGGTGGCATTTTTGTTTATTTTGGTAGCGTTTCCCCTTCTCTTGCTTGTTAAGCTTAATGGAGGGTTATAGCCTAAATTAAGCTGGCTCTATATGTATATATTTTAATCGTGGTTTAATCTGACAGCAGTGACTGACAACGCCAAAGCTTAGGGTAAAAACTATTGTTACCTGACTGTCACCATGCAGATCAGTGAGACATGAATCAATGAGAATATATAAAAATATAAAATAAAAAATGTTTTTAGTCAGAGACGAAAAGGGCAGGCGCTTGAGCATCACTTGGGCATGCCATGTTTTATTTTATATATTATTTTAGTACTTATTTTATTTTATTTCAGTAACCAAAAAGATTTTTAATAGTTTTAGTTAACAACAGTAACAAAACCCCAAACACTCCTTTAACAACCCATCTCGGGGAATATGAGCCAAATGCTCCTTGTTATTGTGAAAGCTGCTGAGATCTGTGGCTAAATTACAGTCACTTTAAAATACTAATGACTATAACGAATGTTATGCTCTTGAGAGGATCTGGTGAAAGTCATTCTTCATGTGTGATTCACATGTGTTTTAATTCACACAGTAGCTCTCAGATCATCTCAGGCCTGCTTTATCACACAAAAAAGATGTTAATCTGTCGCTCTGTTTCAAAACTTAGTGAGCAACCTTATTGCGCACTGCATAAAAATACATATATTAGGTCAAATGCATACATTTTAATTAGATTGAGACAAAAATATCCTGTCGGGTCGCCAGAGTTGGATTTATTTATCGCATTTCTTTCAGACCGGTTCTGGCTCAGATGACTAACACTTTGGGCCAGAAATGAACCGAACCAGACATTACACTCACTGCGTAAGATTCCAGGATGGTAAAGTCTTCACAAGAGGATTCTGGGAAAGCGCTCTTATTTCTGAGTTATTGAACAGGTGGCTCTTCTGACTCATCCAAGTCTCTAGATATGGCTCAGGTCCCTCATTCAGTGTTTTTCCCACCTGTTTTACTGTCAGGTGAAAATCATCATGTGTCTGAGCACTTAATAAAGAAACAGCACTTCTCCTCGACAAGACATATGATTTTGAGATCCACACTGCAAAATGTAGTATTTCTGTCTTGTTTTCAGCACAAATAGGCTATGTAAACATGCTTAGGCCTAAATCAAGATACATTAACTGGAGAAGCAAAATGTCTGAAGATTTTAAGTCGTATTTACTGAAAAATTGAACAAAATTAAGTGAGTTTTGGCTTAAAACAAGAAAAAATATCTCACTGAAGAAAAAAGTCTCGTTTTACCTTTGAGGAAAGTGAATTTTTCTGACCCCAATGGGCAATGGCAGATATTTTTTCTTATTTTATGAATAAACTCAGTTAATTTTGTGTTTTCAGAAAATAGGACTTAATATCTTAAGCCATATAGCATCTAAAGTAAATGTATCTTGATTTGATCATTTGTAGTGCAGGAAACCGAGACAAAAATACCAAGTGCGACACATTTTTTTTTTTTTTTTTTTTTGCAGTGGAGTCGTTAAAGAGAACATAATTAGGTATGTATCCCAAAAGTAAATATTTGAAAAGCCGTATCTGAGTTTTGATCCAGCTAAAAGTAGGTTAAAATCTGTATTCGTTACTCATAATAGTATCCGAACTTCCGCCAGAAGAACTCCGGGCCGAGACACTTCCTGTGTCACCATAAGCCAATCAGAGCGCTCTTCAGGAGCTTCACCATGGCGGCGAAAACAACGAGAAACATCACCGCAAGTATTCTAATTTAATTATGGTAATATGTTATTCATTACAGTGACAACAAAATACGGTCCTTAAGTTCTTTCACATGCGTTTGGACTTCAAAGTTTGTTCCAGTTGTTATTAACGGGAGTTAGCCAGGAATTAGGTCCTTTTTCCAAAGCATTCCCTAAAAATATCTCGCCTCAGACGTACTTTTTCCATTTTGAGACGTATATTGTTTTTAAATGACAGTGTTTAAGAGCTCAGAGACGCAGGTAAACAGTGTAACAAACCCGCGCCCTCTGCTGGAGGCCTCATGCAAACGCAGCGCTAACGGAGAGATGGATTTATGCTTCCCAAACTTTTTATTATTATTTGAATGCAGGCAAATGAAGATGGTTTTATTCTTCTCATCAGTAAATCTTTTTCTGACTCGCTATGTATGCTAATGAAAGCAAAGTACAGGCCCTCTTGTGTAGGTCCATTAGATGAGTGAGTGTGTAAGTGGGTCCAGATTGTGTGTTTGATCCTGGCCATAAAAGTCTATCTGGATGTTCTGGTTGAAGGTCACACAGTAATTCCTCCTCCTTTATCAACCTGTCGTTCCCAAAGCAATAAAACATCCACTTTACTGAACTTGAGAACCCGATAAACCCCAAACCACGAGCAACACACACTAAAATCTACAGTATAAGTGTCAAATACTTAATTTCTCAGAATTTAGAAAGTGTGCAACTATTATGACTGTTTTATCACGGTTGTTAATGAAAAAAAACTCTTTAATATCTTGATTTTAGGCAGGAATGAGCTTAAATTAAGAGCTTTTGCGCACGTATCCACCCGGTTTCAGAAAAAATGTCTCAAACTGTGTCAAAACTCAATATAATTTCTCATCAAATTACCTGAGCATCTCCACGTTCATTTTATAACCTCATCCTCTCACTGGATGACAACTAAAGTGACTCATTTGGGTCTGTTATTATTTTCCAGGAGAAATAAAAATCATATACTTCAGAGATTTAGTCTGATTGTCGATACCGTTTTGTCCTCAAAGTGCCGCAAAACATGCTTTCTTCCTCTGTGTTTTTGTCTTGATTTCTATAGTCAACATTTGAAGTGGATCAAAACCTTTCAGCAAATGAATTTTGAACAATACCCGTTCTTGTCTTAGGACAACTTTGATCCACTTCAAATGTTGACTATACTGTAGTACAAGATAGATTTACTCGAGAAGCAAAATGCCTTCAGATATTAAGTCTTAAAATGAAATTAATTTATGGGTATCTCTTAGTGGGCTCACTTGCTTTCCCTTTGAATTAAGTTGATTTCTCTGACCCCATTGACAGATATTTGTTCTAAGCATAAATATCATAAGTCATTTAGCTTCTCCAGTATCTTTTGATTTAAGAATATTTAGATATTTGTACTGTAAAACAAGATAAAAATATCATATTTTGCAGTGTACACCTGACACTCATGCATAATCCGGCTCACCTGGCAGCAGAGCGCCGATCCACATCAGCAAGATGTACATGTACTCCATAAGTTCATACGTGAATCAGTCAGTGTGTGTGTGTGTGTGTGTGAGAGGTCCTCACAGCGAGAGCACACACTCGGGTCTGAACCTGACTGAACCGCAGCAGAACTACATCTGAGAAGGAGGAGCTGAAAACGGGTCGATCGACCTCTAACTCGGACAGAGAGAGAGAGTTTGGAGCAGGTACCGGTGAACTGAGTTTATTAGACCGGACTGAGCTTTTACTGCTCTCTCTCTCTCTCTCTCTCTCTCTCTCTCTCTCTCTCTCTCTCTCTCTCTCTCTCTCTCTCTCTCTCTCTCTCTCTCTCTCTCTCTCTCCAGATGTTCATCTCTCTGGACTCCACATCTGTCGGGAAACACCACAGAGCTCAACGCACTTCCATAACACGGTGATTTACACTCTTTAAAGACCTCAAGAAATCACAATTGTGGCTTTAAGTTCAGTCTCGTGTTGCATGAAGCTTCATTTTGAATCTATACACTCGATTTCATGGACAAAAACGGTACAGTGATTAGGATTAGTTGTGTAATGTGATCTCTGCACTATAAAAAATGATATTCAAAACTATTTTTGTAGTAAAATCATCTTGGATGTTTAAGTCATTTTAACTTAAAGTACATGAAACTGAATCTTGTTTAACTTATTCACAAAAAAAAGTTGAAAATTGCTTAATTTATTTTGACAAGTTAAAGCAACGTAAAAACATATGTTGTCATAACCTATTGATCATATCATATTTATCACTTAACTCAACTTTGAAAAAATTCCTCATGCCTTAAAATATCTTGAATGTAACTCGACACCCGTGCCTCATTTAGTATACGCGGTTCTATGAATATGCAAATGAGCCCCGCCTCCACTCACTCACTCAGCTCAGAGATCCACTGGTTGACGATCACACGTTGATCTGATTGGTTACAAGGTCGTTTGTGACGTCAGAAACACCAGCGATTTCAAACGTGTTTGAATTGAACTTAAATTACATTAAACTGACTTAAAACAAATGAGTTGAATCTTGAATAACTAATAAAAAAGTTAAAAAACTTATTTTGATGAGTTAAAGCAATGTAAAAACACATGTTGTCATAACTTATTGATCATATATTTTTTACAGTGTAAGTAAAACAGATTTTAAAAAGTTGCTGCTTAAATTTTTAAGGACAATCAACTTGGATGTTAAAGTAATTTCAACTTAAATTACATTAAACTGACTTAAATGAGTTAAATCTTGTATAACTAATAAAAAACAGTTAAAAGTTGCTTAATTTATTTTCATGAGTTAAAGCAATGTAAAAACATACAGTCATAACTTATTGATCATATAATTTTTTTCACAGTGAAAATGATTAATTTTACAAGAAAACATTATTTTTTCCCATTAAAAGAAATTCTTAGTATATTTACTCAGCATTTTGATAAATTTTTCAGAAAACAAGAAAGTAAAAGTATCTTGCTTTAAGATCGTTTAGATATTTATACTGGAAAACAAGACCGAAACACAGAACAGTTTCTTCAAAATTTCATGTGCAATTTAGTGTTGCTTGCCATTCGGTCATTTTTATGTGAAATTTACTAGTGATTTCTATAGTTTGCCGAAAGTGGGCGTCACTCTTCTGGAAACCGAAGTAAACAGATGAATATCCTGGAAGCTGGCGGGGGGGATATAACACAGTTAAACCCAACCACAGCAGAGACCGCTGACCTTCATGACTCGTGCGTTTAAGAGACTCCAGACACGAGGAGACGTTTGATACACTAGAAAAGCAAAGCAGGAGATGATTAACTCTATAGAGATGCTCTTCATACTGGAATAATCTTCCAGTTCACAGAAAAAACAAAGTTTATATGACAAACCATATGAGCTTCTTCCATGGAACAAAAAACATGAAGGTGTCAAGATCCCAAAATACGGAAGCGTATTGCATTCACTTGAGAAAAAAAATCTACTCTGTTTTTCTGAATTAACGAGTTAATTATCTCAGAATTACGAGATCATTTTTCATGGAAAAAAGTTTTTACTCTGTTTTTCTGAATTAACGAGTTAATTATCTCAGAATTACGAGATCATTTTTCATGGAAAAAAAGTTTTTGCTCTGTTTTTCTGAATTACGAGTTAATTATCTCAGAATTACAAGATCATTTTTCATGGAAAAAAAGTTTTTGCTCTGTTTTTCTGAATTAACGAGTTAATTATCTCAGAATTACGAAATAATTTTTCATGGAAAAAAGTTTTTGCTCTGTTTTTCTGAATTAACGAGTTCATTATCTCAGAATTACGAGATCATTTTTCATGGAAAAAAAGTTTTTGCTCTGTTTTTCTGAATTAACGAGTTAATTATCTTAGAATTACGAGATCATTTTTCATGGAGAAAAAGTTTTTGCTCTGTTTTTCTGAATTAACGAGTTAATTATCTCAGAATTACGAAATCATTTTTTCATGGAAAAAAGTTTTTGCTCTGTTTTTCTGAATTAACGAGTTAATTATCTCAGAATTACGAGAGAATTTTCATGGAAAAAAAGTTTTTGCTCTGTTTTTCTGAATTAACGAGTTAATTATCTCAGAATTACGAGATCATTTTTCATGGAAAAAAGTTTTTACTCTGTTTTTCTGAATTAACGAGTTAATTATCTCAGAATTACGAGATACGTTTTTACTCTGTTTTTCTGAATTAACGAGTTAATTATCTCAGAATTACGAGATAATTTTTCAAGGAAAAAAGTTTTTGCTCTGTTTTTCTGAATTAACGAGTTAATTATCTCAGAATTACGAAATAATTTTTCATGGAAAAAAGTTTGGCTCTGTTTTTCTGAATTAACGAGTTAATTATCTCAGAATTACGAGATAATTTTCCTGGAAAAAAACGTTTTTGCTCTGTTTTTCTGAATTAACGAGTTAATTATCTCAGAATTACGAGATCATTTTTCATGGAAAAAAAGTTTTTGCTCTGTTTTTCTGAATTAACGAGTTAATTATCTCAGAATTACGAAATCATTTTTTCATGGAAAAAAGTTTTTGCTCTGTTTTTCTGAATTAACGAGTTAATTATCTCAGAATTACGAGAGAATTTTCATGGAAAAAAAGTTTTTGCTCTGTTTTTCTGAATTAACGAGTTAATTATCTCAGAATTACGAGATCATTTTTCATGGGAAAAAGTTTTTACTCTGTTTTTTCTGAATTAACGAGTTAATTATCTCAGAATTACGAGATAATTTTTCAAGGAAAAAAGTTTTTGCTCTGTTTTTCTGAATTAACGAGTTAATTATCTCAGAATTACGAAATAATTTTTCATGGAAAAAAGTTTTGCTCTGTTTTTCTGAATTAACGAGTTAATTATCTCAGAATTACGAGATAATTTTCCTGGAAAAAAAGTTTTTGCTCTGTTTTTCTGAATTAACGAGTTAATTATCTCAGAATTACGAGATAAACTTTTTTTCCATGAAAAATTTTGCTCTGTTTTTCTGAATTAACGAGTTAATTATCTCAGAATTACGAGATCATTTTTCATGGAAAAAAGTTTTTGCTCTGTTTTTCTGAATTAACGAGTTAATTATCTCAGAATTACGAAATAATTTTTCATGGGAAAAAAGTTTTTGCTCTGTTTTTCTGAATTAACGAGTTAAATTATCTCAGAATTACGAGATAAACTTTTTTTCCATGAAAAATTTTGCTCTGTTTTTCTGAATTAACGAGTTAATTATCTCAGAATTACGAGATCATTTTTCATGGAAAAAAGTTTTTGCTCTGTTTTTCTGAATTAACGAGTTAATTATCTCAGAATTACGAAATAATTTTTCATGGGAAAAAAGTTTTTGCTCTGTTTTTCTGAATTAACGAGTTAATTATCTCAGAATTACGAAATAATTTTTCATGGGAAAAAAGTTTTTGCTCTGTTTTTCTGAATTAACGAGTTAATTATCTCAGAATTACGAGATAAACTTTTTTTCCATGAAAAATGTTGCTGTTTTTCTGAATTAACGAGTTAATTATCTCAGAATTACGAGATAATTTTTCATGGAAAAAAAGTTTTTGCTCTGTTTTTCTGAATTAACGAGTTAATTATCTCAGAATTACGAGATAATTTTTCATGGAAAAAAAGTTTTTGCTCTTTTTCTGAATTAACGAGTTAATTATCTCAGAATTACGAAATAATTTTTCATGGGAAAAAAGTTTTTGCTCTGTTTTTCTGAATTAACGAGTTAATTATATCAGGAATCTATCTATGTTAGGAACAGATCCAAATTTAAGTCATAATTTATGTTTTTTCTTTTCTTTTTTTTGTCTCCACTTTCATTCTGTGGACAATAACACAATTGACCTGTTGTGTTCTACAGAAAAAGACAAAATACACATATAGTGCATGTTCTCAATGTCTAAAATCACATCTTTAACAATCTTTAAACAAGATAAATGCATCTCTGAGGCAAAACTACGTACGATATTACACTTTTCAGAGCATATATTTTTGCATTTTAACAAGTTTTTGCAGTTTCGTTTTTACATAGTGCACCTTTAAAACATCTACAAATCCTAAAACTAGAAGTACTTGACAAGCAAAAGATATTACAGAGAATACTTGTCTTTTCTAACTAGTTTAAACGAGTTAAAAACAAATTAAAAGTAAGACAATGCATACGATTTTTAGAGAATATATATTTGATATAAGCTTTTATTACTAGTTTTAAGTATAAAAAAGTGTAAAAAAAAAAAAATGTACCAGTGCAGTTAGACAAAAAATAATTATATTCAAGAAAGATATGATCTAAAACATGTACTAATATCTAAGTGTTGCTATCTTGTTTTAAGGATTTTAAGAACAGGTCATTTTAATTGCAGAGTGTGTATTTTGTTGAAGAACAAGTGATTAAGAAATTGGTGCAAAAAAACCCCATGGAAATAATCTGTAATATGGATCGGCAGACGTCAGGCCGCCATAAACCGTTAAATATAGACTTTGTGGGAGTGTTTCAACTCATAATGTTCACAGCCAAAACACGAGCTCATGAAACCTGCGTCACTTTAACCTCAGAATGCTAAAATAACATCAGACAGAAGTGAAGTCAGTGTGTGTGTGTGTGTGTGTGTGTGTGAGAGAGAGAGAGAGAGAGAGAGAGAGAGAGAGAGAGAGAGAGAGAGAGAGAGAGAGAGAGAGAGAGAGAGAGAGAGAGAGAGAGAGAGAGAGAGAGAGAGAGTGTGTGTGTTTGTAAGTGAGTGTGAGTGTGTGTGTTAGCTTATGAATGTATGTGTGTGTGTGTGTGTGTGTGTGTGTGAGTGAGTGTGAGTGTGTGTTTGCTTATGAATGTGTGTGTGTGTGTGTGTGTGTGTGTGTGTGAGAGAGAGAGAGAGAGAGAGAGTGAGTCTGTGTATGTGTGTGCTTGCTTATGAATGAGTGTGTGTCAAAATATGAGAAAAATATAAAAAAATGTATGAGGGAAGAACTAACATTAACTTGGTTAAGGTATTTATCTGACAAAATTATTTGGCAAACAGGTTTTATTTTAGCATGCAAAAAAAAAACTGCATAGAAAATCAAAAAGTATAAATTGACTATAACATAATACATTTTTAATAATTCCATTGGTTCTCTTTTTTTTTTTTTTTTTGCATGTGTAATTTCTTTGTATGAAACCCGGGTACAAATATTTCACAATTTGTCATATTTCATTGCTTTATTATCACAAATAAATCAATTGACTCCAAGCACAATATGCTTATAAAATATTTGACACATTTTTATAATATTTTAATAAAAGTTTAAGATGTCAATTATCCTTGACCAGATATATAAATATATATCCTTTTCAAGTAATAATAACACTGAATTTCATTTGTAAACTATTTATGCATCTTAGTAATATTTGTTGAACTGGATTTGGTTCATATACAGTCAAACGCTTCAGTAATCTGTTTTTAAATAGAACTGAATGGATCTTATTTGATCCAGAAGTTATTGTTTCTCAGTGTGTGCCTTGTGCGATGGTGTAATTCTGTCCAAATCATTTCTGAATCTGAAGCCAATAAAATCTGAACGCTTCACTTTCAATTTCATATAGAGAAATATTGAATTCACCAAAGTTGAGTGTTTTAAAACCCAGTTTCACCAGCTTTACATTAGATTATTTAGTGCTTGTGTGAGGAAGTGTGCAGGGCTGAAAAAAAGGAATTATATTATTAAATTATAGAATTTTTCATGAAGAGTTTTGATTTAAGAATTTCCTTCAGCAAAGATTTTCAAGTAATAGTAACACAGCTGAAGATTTATGTAGTTGCAATTTGTGACAACTAGCCCCAGTCTAGTTTATTTCCAGACACTTCAAAACATTCATTTTTATTCGCCGAATACATTTAATTCCATTTTAGTGCCCAGGGTTATTATCGCTAACTGAGGCTAAAATTACACATAAAACCATAAAAAAGTAGCTTGAAATGAAATAAATGTTAACTGAAATAAATAGATATTTTACTTCTGCAAGAAAAAGCAATTCATATTTTTAAAACCTATATAGAAAATCTACACTCTAAACAACGCTTGGTT